ACATAATATGTGGATTATGACATTAAAGGGGGAATGGAGAAACCACCTCCTCTATTTTTAAAAAATATTTCCCTAACTGACACAGCACAGTTCTAACATTATGCTGGTTTGATACATTACCCTTTTGATATGTCACTATTCAACTAACAAACAAAAGAAAAACCATTGTGGTCCATTGTATAACAGCTGAAAGAAAAGGAGGGGAAAGGGGGCTAAGTTGAGCCAGTGGGTTCCACTCCTAAAAGGCAGCGCAGCCCCAGCAGAGGCGAAAGGTGGGGAAAAGGTGGGGTTTACCTCCCTTCTGTTGCCCCAATCTTGACCCTGATATTTTCCCATTGTGCCAGTACCTCTGCCGCAAGCTTGCCCTGCCTCCACCTCTTGACTCCTGAGCAAACCAGGGAAACCTTGCTCACAAATAAACTAGCAATCCAAAGACTTGTGTCGACCCTTCTCACAAGAGAATAAACATCTACAGTGTGAATGAAAGGATCCCTCATGTGCGAGATAAAATAGATCACACTGAAGATAAGAACCTTTTATATGTGAACCAGACCACTCCATATTCCTGTCTGTACAGGCCTTCCAACAAATTTGGCAAGTCACCATGAAGATAAGAACCTTTTATATGTGACCCAGACCACTCCATATTCCTGTCTTGACAGGCCTTCCAACAAATTTGGCAAGTCACTCTTGAGTCTGTACTAATGCTGAAATACAAGGCATAAATTACATAAATACTTTATAGTTTCTTTGTAATGTGTTTATTTTATAAATGTTGTGCAGCCAAAAGAGCTGCACATGAACATAAGTTTAAGATCCAGTGGTAGGTGCAGCAGTCAGTGCAGTCTTTTTGTATCCTGAACTTTTTTTCATACAAGCATATCCTTCTAACTCCTTTGAAGTCAAAGGAATAGCTTCCATAAATTTCAGGAGGATTATGATTTCCTCCAAGTCAGCAATTCTGGAACTCATTGTGACTTCCATTAGCTTAAATGAATCTTAAAATAGTTTTGTAAACAGTTAATACAAGTAGGAACATTAAACAGTTTGTGAACTTGCATCAGAAAATATTAGAAGAGATTCTCACTATCTCTATAAGTAAATAGAGACTGCCATCTGCTGTCACTTTGTCCTGAGTTCTTTAAATCTTCGGTACCTGCTGAAAACAAACCACCAACTTCTCCAATCCTAAACTGCAACATTCAGTATTACATTTTTTTCATTGTGGGAAACCAACCAAAACCCAATAGAAAAAAAATAAATTACATTTTCACTGTGACTAATATGTGTGCTAATTTGGTTGGCAGACAATATTCTTTCAGTATGCTTTACTGGTTATTTCATCCGATTTGTATTGCAACTTAAAACTCTTGGCTTTGAATAACAGCTCCATGCAACAACACAGCCCCTTCTCATGGCAAACTGCTCACCTTATGAATAGTTACCACATAAAATTATGGTCCGCTTAAGGGGACAATCTTTGTTCTTTTCATACTTTTTCTCTTATGTCCGGAATTTAACTAGGGTTCACAGACAGAGCAAGAGAGCCTCCTACTGGTCAAGATACTAATCTGGAAAAACTTCACTAGAGCAAAATGTGTTTATGTGATCCATTAACAACAGATGAATTTGGATAATACCTTAAACGTATATATAAAAGAAGCTTCTGAGTTACTAGAACTCTTCATCAAGTTCAGATGGTATAAAGCAAATAGTTCAAAAATTGGGTCAGATTTATTTATATATTTATTTATTACATTTATATACTGCCCATCTAATGGCAAACCACTATTCTGAGTGGTTCACAATGGGAAAAAAAACACCTCTCCTAACCCACATCCACCAAAAATACCACATAATTCCCACAAGAACTGTGATAGTGAAAGCTAAAAATAACATGTACAACTAAAAAAATAGCACATTAAATATTACATCAAATGGTCTCCTACAGGGGTGGGACTTGAAGGCCTATTTAAAGAGCACAGAATTCACAAGCTTTTTAAGGGTAAACAGAGAGGGAGCATGGCATATACAGTGGGGTCTTGACTTGAGGACCTAATCTGTATTGGAAGGCGGTTCTCAAGTCAAAAAGTCTGTAAGTCAAGTCTCCATTGACCTACAGTGCATTGAAAACCGATTAATCCCGTAACAGGCCGTTTTTGTTCCATTTTGGTTTTTTTCTGGTCTGTAAGTCAATTCTCAGGCTGCAAGTCAAACCTAAATTTTGCGGCCAGAGAAGTCTGTAACTCAAAAAGTCTGTAAGTCAAGCCGTCTGTAAGTCAAGGGTCCACTGTATCTAGAAATAAAGTACTGTATTCCACAGCTTTGTGGCTATCACTGAGAAGGCCCGGTTCCTAGTTATCATTTTTGGGGCCTCCCTCAAGGTAGCCATCTGCAGCAAGGAAACCTAGGAAGAATGTGTGACACGGGTATAAGATCTTAAGAACAGAGCCTCAAACTATTTAGGGCCCTTGTAAGTCAATGCTAACACTCTGAATTTGTCATGGAGGCAGACAGGGAGCCAATGAAGACATTCCAAGGATCTGAGAAATATGACCATATTTCAAAGCTCATAAAACCAGCGTGGCCACCACATTTTGTACCTGCTGCATGTTGCCTTCAAAGCTAGCCCCACCAAGAGTCAATCCCTGAGATTCCCAATGCATGAACTAGCTGCAACTGTGCAATTTGCCGAAGCTGAAAAAAGGCAGACATGGCTACAGCAGAAATTTGCTTCTCCATAGAGACAGCCAGGTCCAGAAGCACACCAAAGTTAAATAAATGGTTTTTTAGGTAAAGTGTAACCCCATCAGATCAGATCAAAATACTGTCCAACTGGTCAGGTTCCCCTCCCGACAAGATCTCCATCTTGTCAGGATTCCACTTCCACCTGTTAGCTCTCATCCAGTCCATAATCAAGGCCAAGCAAGTGTGGTGCCCACAGTTTACAAAGCCAGACCTCCAACAAAGCAAAATGGAATTTAGAATCTACATTTAATCAATCAATCAATCAATTAATTATTTGCAATATTTTTATCTTGCCTTTCTCCTTTAAAAGGACCCAAGGAGGCTTACATCATTAAAAAGACAATATTTAAAAGCTAAAAATAGTAAGTATACAAATTAGAGACGGGGGCTCTGTATTTGTATACGAATATGAGTCCCCCCAGCACGGTTGGGCCGGCTGATTGCCCCCCACACTCAGACCCCACCGGACTACTTACCACGTGGCTGAGCAGGGAGACTCATCCTCCCACCCCCTTTCCAGAGTGGCTGGGTGAGCAGGGAGGCAGGGTTGCGGCAGCCAAACCACTGCTGTGAATAGCAAGCTGATGATTATGTCAGCCACATGGACTATGCAGTAAGTGGTCCGGCAGGGTCTGAGGATGGGAGGTAATCAGCCAGGCCACCTGTGCTGGGAGGCTTCGTATTCATATACGAATATGAAGCCCCTGTCTCTAATAAAAATATTTTAAAATAATTATATTTTTAAAAGGGAAATAAAACCAATACTAAAACACATTTAAAACAGAGCACAACAATCCATTTAAAAACTCATCTCAGACCAAGAGTCATTAAGATGACTGAGGTGACCAAGTTACATTTTTGTGGTTCCCCTCCCCAATCTTCCTATTGCCTTCAGTGAGCCACACAAGTCTCTACCATTTTGTAGTCTCGCCTGTTGACAAAGGACTGGGTTGTGTTCAGCTCCTGTCACAGGTGATCATGAAAAAAAACCTGATTTGCATTATCAAAATCAATTGACTGCAAACCGAAAGAACTGTGGATTGAAACCAGAGAAATTGCCAGGAAGGAATGCCAAAAGGGGATTCCTGAAAGAAGAAAAAGGAAACCTCAATGAATTACAGATGAAACTCTTAAAATTGTTATCTCCAGATAAGAAGGCAAAGGAAGACTTGACAGAAATAGGGACAGAATTCCAAATGCAGCTTTTCAGGAACTTGCATATAGGGACAAAGGGTGCTATTATAGTAATCATTGCAAAGACACAGGCCACTGAAAAAAGGAAATCAAGACATCTCTTGTATAAAATCCAACAAAACAGTGGGAAATTTAAACCTAGATTAAGGATGCAGAATGATCAACAGGGAAACATCTGATCAAGATAAAAGAAATGGAAGATGAAAACAAAATACTGAAGAAGTCAGAAAAGATGTGTGGATGGCAGATTCCTTTAAGTAAAAATCCATTGATGACAAACCGGCAATCTGAGCAAGCAAAATGAAAGCTATTCTCAAAACATGCTGAAGAAATAAATCACCAGGACTAAATGGGAGATCAAAAGAATTTATTTCAAGCTACAGAGATTGAACCTATCAAAATACTGACAAAAATATGCCAACAAATACGGAAAACAAAACAATGGAATCCAGACTAGGGACATTCAATTACCTATTCCAACCCAAAGAGACTCCAAAGATTGCAGTAATTATAGGACTACAGTATCCGAGTAATTTTCTGTGCAAGCAAACTGATGTACTTTTACCATATAATGACAAATTCCAGGTGTTCCAAGCTAGATTCAGGAATGGAAGAAGCACTAAAGAACACTGCAAATATACGTTGGCTACTGGAGTGAACTAAAAACTTTCAGAAGAAAGTCAGTTTATTTTTCATAGATTATAGTAAAGCCTTTTCCTGTGTAGATGATGAAAAGGTATTGTTCTAAGGAAATGGGTGGACCAGAGCATTTCATTGCCCAAAGGCACAGCTTGTACTATGGGCTATACAGGCTACTATTAGGACAGAACACGGAGACATGGAACTGCGGCAAAGGCGTCAGTTAGGAATGTATTTTGTCTAGTTATCTATTCAATCCATTTGCAGAACATATCGTATGTAAAGATGTATTAGATGAGTATGAGAAACCCGTCCATGAATGAACATGCTCTTTCCCGTCGTACAAGTACGGGATCTATTAGCAGCGATCCGGAGGCGCTTCTATTGGCCGCACCCAGAAAGAGGCCTGGCGAAGGTTTTCCACTTCGCGGCTGGCCGGGCCTGCAGACGGGCCTCCTCCTTCAGCGCAACTTCCCTTCGGAGGAACCCGCCCAGGCCGCGCCATTTGAGGGGACACCATGGTTTGCGCCTCGCTGCTGGGGCTCCGGGCAGCAGCCGCTGCGCCTCGGCTCTTGCGGGCAGGAAGCAGCCGCTGTTGCCGCCGGTGGAGCAGCGAGACGTGCGCCCCGCAGCCGAGCCCTGTGCGGATCGGCTGTGCCTCAGGCTTCTGGGGAGACACGGCGGCCTCAGGTACTACCGAGGGGAGCGGCGCGCTCAACCGCCCGAGCGAGGGGCGAAAGCCGGCTGGCTCGCAGCTCCTCCTGCTGGCGGGCAGCCGAGAGACCCCGCCAGCGGAAGCCTTGTGGAAAAGGCGGGAAATCGACACGCCCCTGGCTTCAGGGGCGCACTTTTTATACCTTGCCGAGGGGCAACCTTCCTACCCGGAAGCACCAAGAAGCAGGGGCTTCATGCTCTAGTAATCGTGCAGATAAAAGACCTGCCGAAATCGCTTGCAGGCTCCCTTTCCCTTCGAACCAGACTTTTCCCCACAGAGTGGTTGTGGGGATGGAGAGGATAGTCCCTCTTTGTGTATAATTCAGTGAGCTGGCTGAAAGGAAAATAGGAAAAAAGTCATTAATAATATTGTGCTCTAGTTCCCCTGTCATAATTAAAACAGGCTCGCTTTCCTTGTTTCTAAGACTCAGGAAGAAGAAACCTGCCGCTTGTATGCGCTTATTTTACGAACAGGCGGAGCAGGCTTTGGCATCAGAAACGAAGCGCCTCTTCAGAATGGAGCCGTGCAAAACAAATCCGAAAAGAAACTTCCCTCCACGACAAACAAGCTTGACTCATGCTAAGTTTCCGTTTGAATAACATGAGGGTGAAAGGAAGAGAGAATAAGACGCCAGATGGCTCTTAACTTGGTTATTTACTTGGTGTTTACACCAACTCAGATTACATGCAGTGCAGTCAAAGCTTGGTCGTGAGCCAGACTGAGTGGGATTTAAAAGAAAGAGTGCAAAGGATTGGATTGCACCCTTCAACCGCCCCGGCATCAAAACCATCTAGTATTAGCATATTCATAGTTAAAGGGATTGATTAGAATGAGATAAAATGTTATTCTGAACCTGAGACCTAATGAGGATTTTGAAGCTATTGATGAATAGGTTCAGAAGGAAAAGGAGGAGTCTTTAATAGTACACACCTCAGCAAATAGAAATATGATGACTACAGTTCAGAGAGCTGCATCTTTTTTGAGAATGCCATCACGTTAAAATGATATGTCTATAGTCAATGCATACATTTTGATTATTGTACTTTCATTCTACAATAATCTTCTATGCTCTTTGGAAGTGGACTGGTAAATCAACCCTTGAGACTGGGTGGAGATGCAATCTTCACATCCAAATGGCATATCAGAGCTCAAGCAACACTATTTGATCCAGCTCCTTCCAATATCATTTAGTGACTTAATAAGTGCTTCATGATAATGTCAAATTGAACACTTCCTCTGCTCCAAGGTGGATTGGTAGAGGAAGTGAATTATTTTTAAAGACTCCGGTAGACTCTTTCTGGGGGTCTGCATTCCTTAAAAAAGAAAAGGAAAAAAATCAATATATTTGGTTTGTGTGAAGGACCAGTCAAGAAACTGCTCATAGCCAACCAAACAGAGGGACAAATAGTTGTCTGATTGAGCCCCTATTCACAGGTTTTAAAAACAGCAATAGGGTCATACAAAATAGTTAGACTGGTAACCAAACAGTGCAACTGAGTTGCATTGTGACTGCTTAGACGTAAAGCCCAATCATATTCAAAATGACTTACTGTATATCCAGGTAAATTGTACAGGTTTTATGGCATAAAGTATTTTTACTTGTATGTAAACACACATAGGACTGGACTACAAAGTAGAGGGGTTGATATTGCTAAGTGAAATGTCACATAAAGCAAAATATGGCCCCAAACCTATTCACAGTGCTATTTATTACAACAGAAGATGGATGGAGAATGTCATCCACACACTAACATCTCCCGAAATCACTGAGGGCCAGAGTTTTGGGGTAGTTCGAGAAACCTTGAATATTCTCCCTTTGATTTTCTAATCTAACCATGTCCAAATTCCTGTTGTTTAGTGTAGTAAATCATAGCAGAGTAAGCCCATTGAATTAATGGGAATTTAGTGAGTCAACTCCACTGTAAGTTTCATTGATTCAAATGGGTGTACTCTGTCTGCAGCTTAGTGTGCTAAGCAGTTCTGGACATGACTCACCAAATCCCCATTGTGATTTACTGTGTTAAGCAATAAGAGGTCATAGTCATTGGCCTTGTGTTATACTTTTATAACTGTTTTCTATAATGCAAAGATGGCAAACCTACAGTCCTTTAGATCAGGGGTCCCCAACACCCAGTCCGCGGCCGAGGACCAGGCTGTGGCTTTGGCAGGACTGGGCTGTGGAGACACATCTCCCGCCCCCCTGCATGCATGCCCACATGCATGGCCCACCTGCACACCTGGGTCCCCCGCGCGAGTGCCCTGCCCACCCGCGAGGGGGCCCCGCCTACCTGTGCATGCGTGTGAGCGTGCACTGCCCACCTGCTACTGTGCACACCCCGCCCCCCGTGCACGGGCCCCACCCACCCCAACCAGTCCGTGGTTTAGAAAAGGTTGGGGACCACTGCTTTAGATACTGTTGGACTTGAGTGTCTATCAGCCCCAAACAGCACATTCCATAGAGTTATAGTCCAGCATCTGGCCACCTTAACTTTAACATAGTGCTCAAATCCCTGTACAGTCTGCTGAGAGTAAGGTCCAGTGTTCAGCAGAATTGTCTTATTAACATATTAGTTCCTCTGCTACAAATCCTGTATTTTTCAATAGTTTCGTGGAGACACATCTCCCGCCCCCTGCATGCATGCTCACATACATGGCCCGCCCGCACACCTGGGTCCCCTGTGCGAGTATGCCCTGCCCACCCGTGAGGGTGCCTCGCCTACCCATGCATGCGTGTGAGCGTGCACCACCCACCCATACTGTTGGACTTGAGTGTCTATCAGCCCCAAACAGCCCATTCCATAGAGTTGTAGTCCAGCATCTGGCCACCTTAACTTTAACATAGTGCTCAAATCCCTGTACAGTCTGCTGAGAGTAAGGTCCAGTGTTCAGCAGAATTGTCTTATTAACATATTAGTTCCTCTGCTACAAATCCTGTATTTTTCAATAGTTTGCAATAAATGTTTTTACATTGCATTGTGGTTTTCCCCCTTCTTAATCTCTATTTATTATCTTGCATTAGTTCCTCAACTACTCTATGGAGGCAAGCTGGATTTCCTGGTTTTTGATTACCTTTCTGAAATTACAATGTCTTTACTAGCTACAGCCAAAGCCAGAGCTCCAGTAAGTAAATTTATTTCCCCCTCCTCTAAAACCACAGTCTCAACTACAGAAACATGAACTCAGCAAAGCTGGAAGACTTGTGTAAAATATATATCTAAACCAACTGGCTCATGGGTTGAATTTCTGAAGGAACAAAGTGAAAAATGTGAACATTTCAGTTGTCTGAAATATCTTGGGATCCACTTTGTTGTAGGAAAGCTGTTGGGGTCAATGGGATAAGGAGAAGTCTTTAATTTCTGAGAATTGCTGTCACTAAATGGTTTTCCTGGTAACAGCATTTTTTTCAGAAATACAATTTGTGCAAAATATTTTTTAAAAAATTTTCAGTAGCTGAAATCTTGTTTAGCATAGTAAGACACAACTGCTTCCAGGTCTTCCTTTGTATCCTTTCTCCTCTTGGCAGGAGACCTCCTTGGTGGGCTTTTCCCTTCCTTCCTCATTTCCATGCTCCTTTTGGTCTCTCCAATCTATTCAATCCAGAGGAGACTTCTTTCCAGGGTAATACCCAGGAGAAGGGACCCACCTTGTACCTACCACTTACCCTTGGCAGGGACCTGTGGAGGGCTGATGGAATGTGAAGGTAGATCTTTCCTGAGTACTCAGGCTCACTAGCTCACAGAGGGGAAACAGCTTAATTGTATGGAATTCAGCCTAGAATATTAGAATTTACATGGTTTCATTAACATGTATGAGAACACTGAGAACAGTGCACTTTACTGCACTTAATTTTGTATTTCAGAAGACACATTGTGCATTTGTGCATTATAGCCTTTTTTAAGGAATCATTTTCGTTGCTTAATTAGAAAACAACCATGTGTGAAATACAGTACAACTTTTGCATAGATTATTTGCTTATTGTTCAGGAGAGGCATTCCCTGCTTTACCCATCCCAAAAAGGAATTGTTTGAAGCAAGTACAGTAACAAAATACAAAAACTGATCAAGACATTTATAAATAAAAAAACATTAAAATGGCTAAAAACAGCAGGACCAACAAAAACAGAGCAAAAACCTGCAGCCAGTAAATAAATTAAACAGCTACTGAAAGCATGTACAGTACTGTACTTCCTTACAGAGCAAAACATTCAGTTCCTGGTAGAAAACAGCAGGAAAAGAAGAAGGTGATCTGCTTCTTAGAAGGTGTTACAGTCATGCCTTGTCTTCAATATGTAGCTAATTCCCCAGCCTAAGGAATGTTGTTTTGGAAAAGAAGTGAAAACTGAGTAGCAGTTTAATTGATGTTTTTCAAAGACAATTCTAAAGCAATGGCATATTTTCTCTGATAAACTGTTATTTACTTTGTATTATTTTCAGGATTTGGGATATATTCCTGATTTTGTATTAACTGCAGTGGCTCCTTATATAAAGGACATACAGAGAAAAGGTAGGAAGTTGTTATAATATTAAATTGTTTTTGGTAATAAAGTAAGAAATAACAGCTCCCTTCTCTTGCCCTCTATTTCAAATTACTGTCTTTTACTAATAAATGTATCCACATATCTCAGTAGGTATCTGGCTGCATTGCCAGAGGTTGAGTGTTCAGTCCCCACTGTGCCTCTTGGAAGACGAACCAGCCTGTGTAGCCATGGGCAAGCAACACATTCCCAGGGCATTCCCAAAAGAAGGAAATTGTAATCCACTTCAGAGTATTCTCTACCCAGAACACCCTGGAAAGAGTCCCAAAAATTGGAATTGATAGCACAGTTTGTAATTTGGAAGAGAATTTGGCTTGTTTTGGGTGATTGACCATAGTTTTGGAATCCATGAATGAGCACCGGGGCCGAAACGTTTCCCATGTGCTCCTCCTTTCCTTCCACTGTATGACAGGTTTGGGATAAAGATTCTTATATTAAGGCCAAAGTTTCCAGTTATACATGAACCAGGAAATTCTAGCTTGGTGTCAGGTAGCAAGCTAGGAAAACAAACCAGGATATGTTAGATGAAGAGCATTCTGCCTTGACTTCCACCAGCATCAGTCATCCTCCTTTGTGCCTACGTAGACCCACTGACAATCCACTTCTCAAGCACTTTTTTGTATTATAAATAAACATTTTGGGGCATTATTTACTAACCAGAAGTGGATGTTTAAATAATGTGTTTTCATCTGATCGGAGTTACATACTATCGCATCCTACAATTGTTTAGTAGCTAGCCACAAACATAACAATCTGAGCAAAGACAGTCAAGAGAGAAACCTGTATGTGTTTGTGTATATGCTTGTGCTAGCATATGCACACAGTGTATGCATTCTTCACAGTGCTGAACTTATTGTCCTCAGGTATCCGTATCGTCAGCAATGCTGGTGGGATGAATCCACATTCATGTGCCACTGCTCTCAAAAAAGTGGCAGAGAAGGCTGGTGTAGATTTGAAGATCGCTGTTGTTACTGGCGATGATTTGATGGGAGAGGTATTTCAGTTTTGGGGGGGTAATTCATTAAAGTTTCGGAGAGATGGTAATTGTGATACAATTAAATAAGGCAGATTTAGAACTCCACAGCCTAACTAGATTCTTGGTGTTTCCATTAAGCTAGGACTGGGCAATATAGGCCCAGGAGCTACTCGGGGCTGGTCACAGACTGAGAGGAGTATCAAAACAACGCAAACAATGAAATGGAAAGGGACTAGAAGGCAGCTGCCTGTTTCCAAAAATGGGTATTCAAATGGTGCAGGGTGGTCCTGTGACTTATTAAAATGTGCATTGAGTACACTTCCTAGGGCAACAGTTCACCTTTTATATGTCGGAATGAGAAGGATCTGGAGAAGGGCCAGGGGTTGCAGAAAGAATTTTGGTGGGCTGCCTTTTGCCTACCCTGCTTTAATAAAACGCAATATTGGTCAAGCACAGCAGATGACTTATTCTTTGTACTGGCTTAGTTTTTTAATTGGTTCAGCTAACTGAATCTTCAGGGCAGGGAACAAGGTAGACCCATTAATAAAAAGGGGGAATTAATGGCTAATAGTGGGGTTTGTTCCTAGCTCAGAAATGGTTGCAATCTGGAGTTTACACAAAAACATTACTGACATGGGGACCAAAGAAAGAACAGTGTCTTTTAATAGACTGGGAAAATGAAGCTCTAATTAATAAAGATTCTTTTTTATGGTAACTCAGCCCAAGGATCAGCCAAAGTCATTTTACAGCCTGAAGCAGAGTAGCAAATGATGCCCTCCTTTCCCTGGTCAAGGCAGACCGCAATATTTAATTTTAACACCTCTAGGCGCCCTATACTTGCTGCCATTATAACCTTTGAAATGTATGTATGTTTCCAATACTGATCTACTTCTAAATTTGTTTTTAAATTATGATTTTATAGCTTAGGTGTTTAATAACTTTTTAATGACTCATGTATCTAGTTTTAATTTTTTTGTTTGTTTTAATGACTTGTGAGCCATGTTGAGTCCTATCACATGGGAGAAAGGTCACACAGAAGCGCAATAAATAAATGAATCAGTAAAATAGTTGGGTTGTTTTGGCCTCTGAGGGACAAAATCAAAGACAGCAGATGACTCGTTTTTGTTTTGTCAGCCCCTCTGCAAACGTCTGTGTGGTATGCACTCAGGGCTTGCCAAGGTAGCTGATTTCATCCAGCCTTACAGTGAGTGATTAGTTTGGCAACTATTATATGAATCTTCCATGGGCTACACTAAGAGGCAATGATTTTAATACATGATAAAGCAGTTACTTTTGATAGGATAGGCTGTCATTTGTAGTCAAAATCAATTGAGAATATTGATATTTCTTTCCAAATGCTCACAGGTTTTACAGCACAGTGTACATTTGCTGGTCTATTTCCATTTGGGATGGCTTTAAAGCACTCCAGTCTTCTGGTGTTTCAGTGATGCTTGACAATCCTACCTGAAGAGGTTACTCAAACAAGAATTTGTTATCATGTCATAGCGAATGTCTTTTTTGGGGAGGGGAATCAGAGTTAAAGGCATGAGAGAAAAGGGAGAAGACAGAGGTCTTGAGCTTATTGCTTGCTCCTCAATTCTCACAGTTGGTCTGATAAACTTTTAACACACTCCTGAAAGTGGTCCTATTTAGCATTTTCTTAATTTACCTTTTATAATTGATTAATATTGTTTAAATTACTACAAAATATATAATTATCTTGAAACTTGAGAATTTCAGTCAAGCATTTTATACTGCATTCATAAATTACAGTTAAGCAACATTAAAAAAGCTCTACCAAAAGGAGAAGATGGGAAGCGATTTCCAGAGAATATCTGCAGCATGAATGCATATCTGGGGTAAGATTTTTAGGAAATATTTTGTAAAAATATATATGAAGAAATGCTTTTGAAAGCATTAATATTGTATCCATTTAGTTGTCTGCATTAGGTACAGCCTCGTTTTCTGAGTCGGACTTAGTGTGATTGCATCTTGATTTAATAAATAAGTTCTTATTTTTTAGTTTTATCAGATAATATGTTTGTAGTCATTAGTGAAGGTGCCAAAGAACAGTGATGAATCATCTGCAAAATTTGCAGGGATCATTAGCTAGTAAAATGCCAAAGTTGTCAGTATGAAAAGAAGTGCCTGTTTGTTGTCTTGAAAAATCAGGGAATATTTAATATCATACAGGGCAAAAGTTCTTGATTAAAGAGCAGGATATGTATGTATCCAGTAGTCTGCATAGTCCTATAATCTCTGGGGCAGGGGATTACAGGTCTTTCCATTGCATTTTGAGAAACTTGCAAAAGGAATCCAAATACACCATCTTTCCCTGAAAATAAGGCAGGGTCTTATATTAATTTTTGCTCCAGAAAACACATTAGGGCTTATTTTCAGGGGATTTTTTTTTCATGTACAACAATCTACATTTATTCAAATACATTTATTCATGTCATCTTCTGGTTGCTGCACAATGGTGGAGGGCAGGGTTTAACTTCACAGGGTTTTATTTTTGGGGTAGGGCTTATATTACAAGCATCCTGAAAAATCATACTAGGGCTTATTTAGGGGGAAACAGGGTAGTTCCAGGCCTTCAGGGACCCAGCTAGGCTCAACAGCCCAAGTTTACTGGCAGTTGTCATTTCCTGCCTGGAGTAAGCAAGGCCAGTGACTCCCTTCCTTCAGAACCAAAACCAGCCCTACAGGGAAAAGAAATAACTTCATAGCTGGCCAAAAACTCATGGCTAGATTTAGGACTACCGTGGCCCAACCACACTCCTAAGAAACAAACCAGATGTGTAGTAGAGTTTTTATTTTATTAAGGAGATTTTTAAATGGTAGATTAAATGATGAAAATGGCATCACAGATTAAACACAACAGTTTGGGAAAGAAATCAGTATACTTAGACGGAGATGCTCGCTGTAGATATAGACAGATGCCTGAGCTTATTCAGAGTGTGAAATGTACCAACAGAGTAACAGGCTGACATGGAAAGATATATGACCCATTTTGGTCTTGCCCACTATTATATTCTTACCCTCAGTGGCAGTGATGACACCCAATAACCAATCATAATTTAGTTTTTCTGGAATCCTGTAGAATATGAACAATCCTACATGGATTCAGAAAAAGGTATCTAAACTAGCTGGCAATTCAGGTCTTGCTACCAAGCAGTTTACACTGACTTTGGCTCCACTTCAGCCTGGTAGTACAGGTATCTCCCTGAAAATTGATTGATCAAACCTTCCTAGCTGGTGCCACATCACCTCCCATCAGCTAAGCAGACTGCAGCCAAGATGTAGATGGTTTGGCTCTTTGCATGCCATCACAGTACTCACCTTAGATCAGTGGTCCTCAACCTTGGGCCTCCAGATGTTCTTGGACTTCAACTCCCAGAAATCCTGGCCAGCAGAGATGGTGGTGAAGGCTTCTGAGAGTTGTAGTCCAAGAACATCTGGAGATGTTTGGCTCTTTGCATGCCGTCACAGTACTCACCTTAGATGTCTTTCTGATCTCATTGTTCAAGATTTCCTAACTGGTTACATTTACTGTAATCGCACTGCCTTAGATGTCTTTCTGATTTCATTGTTCAAGATGGGAAGCAATATTTCCTAACTGGTTACATTTACTGTAATCATTCGATGTAGGAGTTCATTATAACTGGTAGGGAACTGAGTCTGATAGGCACTGGCTTGCCCAGGAAATATCTTCTGAGTGTCCAAGTGGGCTAATTAAAACTCAGATTCCCAAGTCTCCTAGTTCATCATGTATCTTCCTCTGCCTGTAAATGTTATGCATATGATCAGTGGCATCATACATCAACTGCATCGCTCCCTCCACCAGTCATGTAAGAACTGCCTTCCTTGTGTTGAATTTTGTGTCTTCTCAGGTGAATTATGTTAAAAGATGAGGGAATGAATTCATGATCAGGATTTTTTTTCTTTAGCGCCAGACCAATAAGTAGAGCTCTTGATCTAGGAGCAGATATTGTGGTGACTGGAAGATGTGTTGATAGTAGCCTTGTACTGGGACCACTAATTCATTCTGTAAGTATGGAATCTGCTTCTGCGTCGGAAATAGTTTCTTCCTCTGCTGGTCATCTGTATGAATGCTTCATAGGTTTCCAGCATTTTTTCTCACCCTAAAACCTTAAGATAAGAATTGATTTAAATTTTGTTTATTTTTAAAGGATAAAACAGGGATTGATAAAATGTCAGTATTGCTTTACTATTTTAACTACTTTGCCGGGGCCAAGCACACAATGCTCATATGCAATTTTTGCTTACTTCAGTATGTTTTGAAGGGAAGTTGTGTTCCATCTGAACTTTTGACTTTCCACTTCAGCTATTTGCTTTGTGTGTCATATGGGGCAAGAAAAATACATAGTTCACATGCTTCTTCTAGTGCTCACATATAAGGTTTTGTACTATTAGTTGGCATTTGGCAATGCAAAAGTTGACATAATGTTGCATATTGTTGTGGCAGTGTGTTTTGGTAGTGTCATTTATTAATTGATAGTGAAATCAAAATTGTATATGCCCACTTAGGAAATAATAATAGAATATAATCAGCAACTCAATAGCTAATTCAGCCTTTTTGTGTGTGTTTTCTTGAGCTTGTAAATGAGTTCTTTCTGAATGTGCGGGGGGGGGACTTAATTCGGGGATTCTGGTTTGTTTCTTATTCTAAAATAACTCTTATTAGGAGTATTTCCCCCCCCCATCTTTTTAGACAATATAGCTACATTTTAAAAGAAATACGATGTTCATGTTAATGATTTTTGCCAGTGTGCATTTTAAAAATATCTGCTCCTTTTCCTGATAACTCCATTTAAAGCCACTGCTTTAAGAAACTCTGGAGTTTCTTAAGAACAACAATATTAGGGCACAAGCAGATGTTAGAGATCATCCATTTCATTAACTGCTCTGAGTGTCTGCCCGGTAGGAGTTTTTCTTGCTTGATGTAATTTGCAGACTGGCTTGTTTCGTTTTGTGATTGCTCTTCAAGACAAGTACAGGATTCTTTTTACATCTGATTTCTCAGACATAATAATGTGCCTGAATCATATCTCCAATACTAATATGCTTTCATCTCTGATCACCAACTACGGTATCTTTACTGCCTGTTTGTGGTCTTGGGCTTCATTTATAACATGCAAATAATTTACCTTGCCACAAGGTGGCACAAAATATCAGTTTGTTTCCAAAATGCATTTTTTAATTTGCTGACTGTTTTTTACTTAAATGTCTGTTTAATTTTAAGATGTGATGCAAACAAGAATGTAACTGAGCAAATGCACAACATTTTTATCTTCATAAAATGAAAAGTTCTAGAAAACAATGTCCTTTGCTTTTAATGTGTTACCTTCAAAGTTTTGAACTGGTGTTATCATTAATGAAGCCTGAAGAACTTTTAAATTATACAAGTGAATTAGTTTTAAAATCCACCTGTATAGTGTCCTATTTAATCAATACTTTGAAAATGCCTCTTTCCATCTGTAAAACAGTAATAATAATCATGGATCTGGAACATTTCATTAGTCAGTTATTTTTTCTATTTAATTTTCAAGGTATGTGTCAGTTCTCTGCAAACACATCATATGAGTGCAAAGGAATGCAGACTAAATAGTTGGCTTATAAAATCATTAGAGCCCTGTTTCTCTCTGCCCCGATCTTTCCTTTCCTAAGTAGAGTTGAGTTATGAATGTCAATATTGAGATTGTCTATAAATCCCTCTCCCAGTGGCCTTGTTGTCCGCCTGCACACATGCACTGGGAAATGGACAGAAAGGAGGAAAGTGAAATCTCCTGACCTTTGGGAGTTTTCTGCAGGCACTGCATTGGCAATGAATTGGCTTGTGTTGTCCCTATTCTAACTATTTCATCTAACATTTTCAGTATTCTGTTTTTATAGTTTGGCTGGAATAAAGACGAGTTCAACCTCTTAGCATCTGGAAGGTAAATTATACTACTGTTATCTTTTTAAAAAACCCTCAAAAGCTTAAATGCTGTTAAAACATAATGGTATCACATGAACTAAACATAATGCTAATGGAAACCTTAGAGTTAAATGGCAAGATCAGTGCATGTACAGTTAATTGTAAAGATCTTGGGCTTAGGCAATGAACACATAAACAGTACATTTGGGAAGAGTTAGTGGATTTTTATCTTGATCCAGTAAGATGAATGTGCACTCAGTATCAGTTTTTTTTTGGGGGGGGGGTGGCGATCTCCTCCGAAGCACCTATTCCACCCAGGCCTTCACGAGGTTCTCACTCTTCTTCCTTCTTTGCTTCCACCAAATATTAATTCTTTAATATCATTTGCTTATAGAGTCAAGTGTGCTGTTCAAAACTTAAGTCTTTTATTTGATCAGGGAATTCAATTAACAATGAATATTCATGGAATAAATCACAGGCTGCCAATCACTTGTATTTGAATCAAATCTGATATAACTTTAAAACTCTTTTAACTCTCTGTTTCAATCTAGGACTCTTACAGATCTCTAATTCACTTTCCAGACACTTACAAGTTACACACAGTCTCTCACTCACAGAATCTCCCCTCAGACCCGACACACCAATCTTTATATCCAGCTCCCTCCCCCCTTGGCTCCACCTTCCGTCCACTCATAGGCTCCTTCTTCACTATTCAGCTGTGACGGGCAGCTGAGGGCAGGGCTGTTCGCTACGGGGGGGGGGTGTCCCATTTCCTTCTAAATTGGAAATGATGTACACAGAAATGTGCCATGTACATAGTTTTTAATCCCAAATCTGTATATGTTATGGCACTACAAAGCTTTTAGCAGCACTGAACACAATAGTGACTTTGAATGACAAATCTTGGCTCCATAAAGACCAAACTGGGAACTATAATAAATAGCTTCCAAACAAGTCAGCATTCAGAAGTCAAGTTGTACTAACTGTTATAGAAGCTACCACCAGATATATTAAGTTTTTGAACACTCATTCTTTAAAAAGATACATTTTTATTTCTTATAACATTATTATCTTGTAAATGAAATTGAATTATCATTATTTTAATACTGTTGTATATTTGATAATTTTTTAGTGTCATAATTTATTGTGGATTTAGACAGCTTTTTAAAAAAATAATTTGTGAGCCACCTTGGGTCCCTCACTTGGAAGAAAGGCAACATAGAAATGAAAATAAATAATTAAACAGAGATACATACTGTATAGGAGTATCTTCTAGGAACATCTCAGGAAAAAAGTCACTTCTATATTAGGGGTTTTTTGGGGGTATGTGTGTAACAAAATAGGAATGTATCTGAACATCTATAAATTAGGATGTCTGGCATTAAACTGAAATGCTGCTGAAATGTATATTACAACTTTGGATGTTACTCTTGGTTTCCAGTCTTGCAGGTCACCTGATTGAATGTGGTGCTCAGTGCACAGGTGGAATATTTACCGACTGGCATACTGTACAAGGCTGGTATGTTGAAACTGTTTTATTTACTGTTTAAAGAACATTGGGGAAATAAAATCATTTTCTTGATTTCTGGGAAGAGGCCTACAAGTAAAACTCAATAGAAATGTTGAAGGAGAGAATGAACCATATTTTATCACCTCCTTCTGATGGTTTATAATGATCCCATAATTAATAACTTCTTTGATTCCGTCGTCTAAGTTTAAGCATACCCTTTGGCATATTCATTTTGACACCAGTCTCATAGAATTCCAAGGGACAGGGTAGAAGATTTCACCTTTAATCAACAAACATGCACGGAGGATGAGCAACTGGAGAAAAATCTCCAACAATCCTTGGTTACTGTTGGTTGTTAAGACTTCTCTAAGCAATAGCAGCTGATAGGTGTGCTATATACTTCCAGAGTTCCATACCGTAGTTTAACTCTACCTTCCTGGAGCTAGTGTTTTTATCACATCCTTCAGATAGTTACTATTTTCCTGGCCAAGTTACATTTCAAAGGCCAATTCAGGTTTAATCCTTCAAATGTTATTTTGGTTTGACTTCACCTATTATAATTATATTTAAAATTGTTTGTCTCATAGTAATGTAGCAATCTGAAATATGAACCAGATTGTTGTTATTTAGCAACAGGCCTAGAAGATAGGTTAACATCTCTGTTACAGCAGCTCCACTGGCTGCCAATCTGTTTCTAGGCACAATTCAAAGTGTTGTTTTAAACCTCTTATGCCCTAAATGGCTTGGGTCCAAACTATCTAAAAGACTTTATGGACCTGCCCAGGTATTAAGATTATCAGGTGAGGCTTTTCACTCATTCCAACCACCTTCACAGGGACTGGTGGGGACAGGGGAGAGGACCTCCTTTGTTGCTGCTTCCAAACTGGAACTCCTTCCCATGGGACGTCAGGCTGTCCCCATCTTTACTGTTCTTTTGCAAGCAGGCAAAGATCTTTCTCTTCAGGCAGGCAGGCTTTCCTTTTAATGACTGGTTGACCAAGAGGATTTTGAAAGGGATTGTTTTATTCTGTTGTTTTACTTGTGTTTTTAATATTGCTCTTATTATGACTAATAATATGATATCTGTTTAATGCTTTTAAAATATTGTAATAATTTATTATTTAGCTTTTAACTTTGTTTCTTCTAATACTTTAAGCCACCATGGATCCTTTAGGAGAGAGTGTAGTAGCAGATTATCTATTTTGTCATTGATGTCCTGGGGGAGAACCATCTTGTGCCAATTGGTATTTTGTTGTACTAGTCAAAACAATGTTTCCATTTGTTTAAGACCCAGATAAATGTACCTAGTAATTTGGAATGTACTGTATTTTCCATGTATAAGACACCTCCCACTTTTCTAATCCAAAATTAAGAAATCTAAGTGGGGCTTAGCAAGTGTGTGTGTGGGGGGGGGGAAGGGATCAAAGCGCTGCAGGATTGCTTTGATCCCTGCTTTCCCCTCCACTTGTTTTGTTCTCTCCTCAGCTTACTTACGTGTATAAGACGACCCTCAATTTTTAGTCTAAAGATTTTAGACAAAAGTATAGTCTTATACATGGAAAATATGGTAATTATTTTCTCACTATAGTCTGCCTTTAGTTCTTCAGAACTGGTTTTGTGTCCATAATTACGTATTAATTTTGTGCAGTAATGTGTAGAATACAGCCATTACTTATCTCTGCCCTACTTCACACTTTGTTTTTCAGGCAAAAAGAATAATCCTTGCATTTATAGTGGCTTCCAATCCATCATATAACATCCTCAAGCAGTGCATTTCAAGATCCTTCTTTTAGTCTTACTGCCTTGTGTTTTGGGCAGAGAAAGTGCTCTCACCTATTCACTTTTATGGCAATGACATGCTTCCTTGCTAAGGGAGCAAAGAAATACAATTGCTGTCTCAGTTTTGAATAATACAATAGTGCCTCGCATAACGAGCACACCGTTTAACGACGAATTCGCATAGCAATCCGTTTTTTGGGATCGCTAATGCGATCGCATACTGATGCTTTCTATGGCCGAAAATCGCTTTGCGACGATCAGTAAGTGTTTCGGTTACAGATTTTCGCATAGCGATTTTTTTTAAACAGCTGATCGGCAGTTCCAAAATGGCCGCCGGTTGCCCAGAATGGTCGCGCGCAGCGTTTTCGCGCCCTGCCCTCGCTTACTGAGGGCGTGAAAATGGCGGCCGGATGGGGAAACATTGCAGAACGGTGAGTTTTGGGCCCCATTGGAACCAATGGGTTTTTCCGTTCCGTATAGCGACGTTTCCCCATAGCGATGGTTAATCCGGAATGGATTAACCTCGCTATGCGGGGCACCACTGTACTTAAGGAGAAAAATGCTTTAACACATTTATATTTTTTTCATATAGTATATGATCAGTAAGATTGTGCAACATTTCTCCTTTTGAGTATTAATCAGGGGGAACTAATATTCAGAAATACTTGCTTTTAATTTTTCCCCCCTAAAATGTGCAATGTAAGACATTAACATTCTTTTACATCATGGGCTGTTGAAGTTTATGCAGTGATTTTAGCACTCAACATGCTGTCACACCCTTTCAACTTCTTTGCAGTGTATAATCTTCCTATATACATATATTTTCCATTCCTGATACTTATTGTGGGATGATACTTTTTTGTATCCCTGTAATTTTTTCTTATGTGAATTTATTTTAGCTGGTCATGTCATTTTTTGTTTGCAGAAATTTGGAAATAACTGTCATAATTTAAAAAATCTAAATGACTGATGGCATAGTTTTATCTCCTTGTCAGCATTATAACATGTTGCATGCTTTTTGTTTGCTTATTCTAAATCTAAAGTATTTAATATTTTTAATCCTTTAGGCATAACATTGGTTTTCCCATAGTGGAATGTTCTTCTGATGGAAGTTTTACTGTATCCAAGCCACCAAACACAGGAGGCTTGTTGTCTTTTGGCACAGTGGCAGAACAGCTAGTATATGAAATTGGCAATCCTAAGGAGTATCTCTTACCGGATGTCATATGTGATTTCTCGCAAGTTACTCTTACTGAAATACCAGGTTAGTGCTGAGGGTGCTGCGTTCTTTGTAATTCTAAGGAAGCACTGTATTTTATACACAGCTTTATTCTTAGGACCAACACAGTTATGAGAATTCCTCTAACTATGTAATGTAATAACCCTTTATTATTATTATTATTATTATTATTATTATTATTATTATTATTATTATTATTATTATTATTATTATTATTATTATTATTATTATTATTATTATTATTATTATTATTATTATTATTATTATTATTATTATTATTATTATTATTATTATTATTATTATTATTATTATTATTATTATTATTATTATTATTATTATTATTATTATTATTATTATTTGAGAAGATTATTTGTTAACAAGGGAGCTTGGAAGCAGCAGTGCAAAGGTTACAATATTCGGCCACATACTTTCCCAAGTGAATGCATGTCTTCAATGAGTGGAAGAATTTTTAGCTATCCCCCCCAAGCATTTCTATATGAGGATTAGAAATAACACCTTTGATAGAAATGGTAGGAAACAAAATACTGAAAAATCATCACATATGTTATATGTGAGGTCAGTGAAAAAGAATATTAAGAGGATAATAAAGTATTATAATGTTAAAGATAACATAGAGACTGAACATTTGAGAAGAAAATCATTACACCATTTGTGTGACATTAAAATTATTTAATCAAGAATGAGCACTTCTGATTCCTGCCATACTAATGCATCAATACTATAAAATACAGTTTTATGATTATGCTTGTGTAGATCAGAAACCATTTTATATATAACTGGAAATGTTAGTTGAAACACATTAATACTACAGAAAATACTTGCCAAGAAAGCTTGAAAATGTAATGGCCAGACTGATTACAGTATTGGGACTAGTAAATTCAATCATATAGCCTCAGTCTTGGCACACCTTCATTGGCTCCCTGTCAGTTTCCATACTCAATTCAAGGTGCTGATTATGACTTGTGAAGCCCATAATGGGTTAGGACCTCAATTGTCAGAATCTCTCTCTCAGAAACCAGCTACCCTTCCACTCATTCCTCTCAATTCATATTGTTAAAAGTGGTCATACTGAGGGAGGCCAAAAAGGCAATAAGAAAGAATTAGGCCTGTTTGGTGGTGGCCCCCACACTCTGAAACAAGTTACGAGCTGAGATCTGCCAGATTCCTTCTCTGTTTATGTTCTGGAAATTGATACAAATGAAATTATTCAAAGCTGCGTTCATCTGATTCTCCAGGATGCTGTATTATTTTCTCTTTTCTTTTTTGTATGAATTTTAGACTTTATCATTGGGTATTGCCATAATATTTGAATACGTATATGTTGTGTGCCGTCTTGTGAGGTTTTAAGTTTTATCAAAAAAAAAAGCAGTGCCCAAAGTAGTGCTTGCGCTAATGGAGAAGGATATAAATCAAGTAAATAAATAAAACAGTAATAAAGTTGAGGAGCATTTGCTCATTTCTAAACCTAACCAACAAATTCATACTATTTATTTATTTGCAATACTTAAGTACGAACCTTCAACAACAACAACAATCTCAAAGTGGTTCACAGGATGAAGTGGCTCACCTACTTCAGTACTGTTCTTTGATCTCCTAGCAGCTAAAGAGCCTAGAAGAGAGTTGGAGACTACCAAGAGGCATTTGTATGATGAATGGATGAAAAAATGATCACAACTTACAGCTTGCAAATGCTTTGGCACAGCAATTTGCCCACTAGCTGATGACCCTCCCCCTTGAGTGCTGAGTATCATAGAGTAGAATGATACTGGCTCATTAGGATGTGGACCAATGTGTGAGAGATGCAAAAACCCTATGGGATGAAGCCTGTTTTGATGATAGATAACATTCTTTCCAGGTGACCTGAGTCCATAGGAATTCACAAACTTATGGTATATGTAAAGGGAGCAGCAACATTCCCTAGAAGCAGTGGCTTTCTTACCTTCACCTCAAGCCCAAGTTTAGCATTGGGACCTCAGAACCTGCATGGGGGAGGAATAGGAAACTTTGAAAAAAAAATTAAAGTCTGTGGCTGATGATATCATCAGGATTTATGTGCCCATCGTTATGCAACAGGATTTTAGCCACTGAAATCAAATAGAAGAAATTGATGGTCTTTTCTTTATCTATCTTTTTATGTATTCTTTTGAACATGAAAAATATTCCAGATTTTAAAAAGAATTTAAGAGTTATTTGACAGCCATCCTGATAGCTTCACCTACCAGATTTCAAGTGGAATCTCTTAACTGGAATAAAATTGCAAGTTTAGGAATATAAGGAATACTTTTTAAAATACACAAAGACATTTTAAAATATAATGGGTTCTTTTAATCCAAATAGCCTGATAAAAAGTTGCTGCTTTTAGAGGCTGCTTTTACAAAAATAACAATTAAAATACTTTAACCTCCAAATGAACTTTTAGCTTGTAAATAGCCCAATATGACACATTTGAACTCCCAATGAACTTTCACATGAACTTTTAGTTAGTTATTCTCCTAGAAATATAACAGATGGAAAATAGGCAGATTTCTCAAATATTTTTAGATATAAGTGTAGTGACCGTGTACACCAGCAAAGAGACTGCAGGCCTATCTACTTTAATTGTTTACTTTACTGAATACTTTGTATGGCAGGATTAGATAAACTAGTCGGTTGAACTCAGCAATGCTTTTTTTTCATTATTTCAGTGGTGAGTATGAAGTTTTTCTAATATAAAAGGCATCAGGTTTTATTATATTGAAGATATTTTCCTTATATTAAGTCTCACTGGTGATACATAATACTAATACTAAATGAGTTCTATTTATGTTCAGACTCTAGAAAATTAAATTTATTTAGACTTTACCTTGTCTTGTGTCCAAATGCTCTTCTGTCCAAGGTAGCTGCAGCATTAAAATGAAAAAGTGCTTCAAGTAGGAATGAAAAGAATACTTACTGAATTCCTTATCCTTGTTAAGATACCTTCAAAAAGAATTTTCAACCACCGTAGGATTCCTTGCCTCCAGTACAAGAGTGAAAAAAGAAGTGCTTGCTTCACCATGAATGTTTGTGCAATTTATGCTAAATTCCTCTAAAGCAGTCTATGTAAAACTATTGTCCTTTTAGTTTAAGAAGTACAGTCCGCATGTACTTGCACACACATACAAAGAGCAGGCACATACCAATTACCTAATTGTTAAAACTTCAGAGTTTGTCAAACAAATCAGGAGCTATTACAATTTTGTTCATCTTGCATATGCTATGTAACTTGCACAAAATCGTTAAGTCAAGAGCACCAGAAAATATATTGCTGTGTTGCTGAGCACATAGCAAAAATGCCCTGCTTGATTCTCCACCTGTAGACTTTATTAAAGAAGATATAAAGGTAAAGGTTCTCCTTGACATTTAGTCCAGTTGTGTTCGACTCTAGGGCGCGGTGCTCATCCCCGTTTCCAAGCCATAGAGCCAGCGTTTGTCCGAAGACAGTTTCCGTGGTCACGTGGCCAGCGCGACTAGACACAGAACGCCATTACCTTCCCACCGTGGTGATACCTATTTATCTACTTGCATTTTTACATGCTTTCGAACTGCTAGGTTGGCAGGAACTGGGACAAGCGACAGGAGCTCACTCCGTCGCTTGGATTCGATCTTACGACTGCTGGTCTTCTGACCCTGCAGCACAGAGGCTTCTGTGGTTTAACCCGCAGTGTCACCACGTCCCTAATGAAGGGATACTTGCCATTATCTATCTCTGGCATGGTTACTTTTATGCTAAACTGTTGTGGTGCTTTCCTTATCTTTAGAAATAAACTTTGGTTGATGGAAAATGCAGTTAACAAATTATGGTGTCCGATGATTGAAATGTAATTTGATTTTGTTCCATCTTAATTGTTTCTGGAATCACTGTAGAGTGCCAAAAAAAAGGTTAACTGAAAGTAGGAACAGGAATAATAATCCACCCCTTGTTTCTCCCTGTGGCTGAGTGAAGAACAGGCCGAAAAGGAAACAATCTGCTGCACACGGAGACTCTCTAAATAATCAGGAACAACTTTTTTTCAGGACCCTCAATTGCATGGAGGGATTCCACATGTATGAGAAGCTTTCCTCTTCAGACCGTCCCTCTCCCAGTGGAGTTAGTGACAGCAAGAAGGCAGGGCTAAGACTCTCCCAACACACACTTTTGATATTAGTTTCCCTTTTTAATGTCTGAAGAGGGCTCTGGTCTTGGCTTTTAAAGTCCTAAGTGCCTACAACAGTAATTCCCAAACCCTTAGATGTTTCAGGAGTCTAGTTTTCAGAATGGTACCATCATCGTGAGTGCTTATGTGAGTGAGCTCCAGAGTCAGAATTTATTCAGTGGCAATGTGGAGGCTATAGAATACTCTTGTATGGGGATTCATGTGGATCATTGCCTTGTAGACAGAAAGTTGAAAATGTTTTCATTCAGAATGGATTTTAGCAGTTTTGTTGCATTTTGCTGTGAAATTAGTGACAACTGATAATTTATTGGTGTGTCTCCATAACGTTAGTGTTACATATCATGTGTTTGTTAGGCTCTGGATTTCAGGGCCTGGTGTCATCTATTGTTATTATATCTGAAAAGTAAAGAAGGCAGCAGTGTACTTTTCAGAGTTTGCCACAAGTCCAGTACTCTTGACTGGCAGAGAACTAGAGAACAATCAGTACTTTGGACAGCTCCAAGTAGTGCCGAAGATGCCAGCTGGACTTGGATATTGCTTCAACAAGTACATGATCCGAGTTAACCTTTAAATATGAAGTTTGCCATCTTCAGGTTGTTTGGACCCACTTTCGTATCTCTAGAGTCTTCATCTCTCTTCTATAAGCCCAGTATTTTTACAACCTGCAGAGCAAAAGCAGAGTTGGAGTCATTTTGAGTTAGAAGATAGTGCTGGGACTTCTGGGTACAGGGGCCCCTGATCCTGGGAGCCTCCTTACAAAGTGCTTTATGAGGAGACTGGAAGTTCATGAGGATTCCCTAACACTGAACTAGTAATTCTTTTTTTGATTTCTGACACATTTCAAGATATTCACTGAACAGATGAACAGGGCAAAAACGCTAATAATCATCCCCTTGCAGGGCTAGCAGTGATGGTAGTAGTAGCAATAGTAGTGATGTTGTTGTTAATAACAGCAGCAACAATGATGAACTTGTGAGGGGCAAATGGTCTATATTATAAATTTATCACAGTCTCTCACTCTTGTGTGTGACAGTCCAGTGTCTGCCATCTTCTCTGTATTATTTGTCTCACAAGCTGCAAGCTACCTGCGCTCTTTACTGTTCTTATCCTTTGACTGGGTGGGGGTATGTGGATGGGGAATGGAGATCAGATGCATTTCAGCAGGCCAGAAATGAGTAGCCCTGGTTACTCTCCCAATAATTTGCATATTTTACACATAATTTGATTGAGAGGTTGGTGTATCCAGCCTTTTTATATTCTTATTTCATGTGAGGTACATGGTAAATGAGGCACCAATAATTCATACAAGCGCACATACCTAGTGCTGACCATGGAAAACATGATACGCCAGACATACCAGCAAGTCTAGCAGATGAAGTCCTGGCCTCACCTTTTTTTTTCAGTTGTCATTAACTGAAAACTGAAAAACAGAATGCAAATCTCTGAGTCATGGGGTAATTTACATGACAATTGTCAAGACTTATATCACGTTTCTTTATCAGTTAGGGCTTTTTTGCATCAAAAATAACAAGGGCTAACAAAATAGGAAGCTGATGTAGTGGCAATTGTGCTGAAGCAGGTTTCATAGAAAGGTCTGTAAGGTGGTGACAATGTTTAAATCCTTTAGCCACCTCCTGGAAACTATCTTCCAGAAGAGCTGGCTGGGGTACTGAATGTCAAAGTGACCCTGGCTGCTAGGAGTTGACTTGATTGCCATCACATTTCTTGTGATTCACACTTTTTAATAGGTAAAAAATGTTCCTTTTTTAGTAGACCGTGGACGGACATTCAGAAGGAGAAAACACTGGTATCATATATTTATGTTTGTTCACTTGGATCAGCTGCATTTCAATGTGAGCTTGGAAAGATGGTGTAATGAAGCAGAATAAAAACAGTTGATTGACATAATGTACCTTTGTCTAAAGTGCTAAACAATTTGGATCCTATTCATACAAGACTATAACACAAATCTGCATTATAATTTCTTAAAAAAACTGGAGGTGCCTTATGAACAATACTGTAAGTGTGCCACATTTGCATGAAGATTTGTACATAGTTATTTTATAGTTAGGGTGTACAAAATCGGAGGGATGATAGTTCAGAGCTGAGATATAGTTTATTCTAAAGATACAGGGAGGAATCTAAATCTGACTACTTATTTAGGAGCCAGTTTTATACTGATTTGTTCTGCTATTCAGTATTGTAGCTTGGATCCTAACCTTTTTCCCATGAAGGGACCACAGCTCAAATCACTCTGCTTCCTACCCTTGTCCTGCAAAATTTGATCCTGATAGAGGACCTTGAGACCTTCAGTATCAGAGGTACTGTTCTTCTGAATACTACTTGCTAGGGAATATGAGTAGGGTGTTGTTGTTTCCCTGTCCTGTTTCTGGATTTCTCACATCTGATTTGGGTAGAATTCTGGGATGCATACAGTAGGTCTTCAACTTGATGCAGCATGGCTTTTTTGTTCTAGTGATGTTATTGCTCTGACTGTACTGTTTTAAGGCTTATGTATTTACATATCCACTTTTAAGTTATAACTGAAAGAGTTCTCTCAGATCATTTTAAAGAGCCATCTGATCCCTTATACTTTTTTCCCACAGTGACCAGAGAGATTTTTCCAAAAAGCCTACTGTAAGACACAAAGTATTTTCTGATTGTCCTCCATTGTGGCTGAGAACTATTATCTCTGGAAGTACCTGGTTATACCAGACTGATAGACCCAATTCCATAAATTTGTCAGATCGCATTTTAAAACTATCATTTCATTTACACTAACTTACTTTACAGTTTTCATCTTCGTGTATTACACTCCATCTAGGTCATCCTCAGGAACATGGAATGTAGCCACTTAATAAGTTTATATTAATATTTGTTTCTTTATAAATATTGCTAATGTTTTTCTGTATCTTTTATACATCCTTTAGGTATTGAAGGTGGTGCAGTGAAGGTTCAGGGAGCTAAAGGATTACGTCCTTCATCCTTTTACAAGGTGTTCATAATTAATAAAGAATTGTTCTTGTTTGAAATCTGCATTTATTTTCATTCTTGGTATTCAGAATTTAAAAGTATCATACAGTACTTGCTACTCTACCAGTCACAAACAGTATGAAGACAGACCCATGTATTATGTCTAGAAAGAAATAAAGGTAAATGTTTCCAGTCCAATTAGCAATAACACTTCATGGAGCTTGCATATTACAGTGAAAAATTCTGCTTCCAGTTAATGTTGCAAATACCAGGGAACTGTATAAGCAGAAGTTAATATTAAAACATTACAATTTTGTGAAAATCCAAAATTATGTAGTAGTCTCCTGTGGTTAACAGAGGTTTTCTGCTTTTCTGAAAACATTTTTTACATTGACAGATGGCTTAGAAGTAATTCGAATAATTACTTTACTGCAGACTGGTCCAACTGGCAAAACAGGCTATAATATTTTGAAAGTCCATTCCAATAAAAACAGAATTGTTTTGTTAATAATTCACATATTTTTATTGAACACCTTAGTTTACAGTTTACATTGTTGATTCTGATAGCACTTCATTGAGATTGGCAATTATTTCTAATAGTATATGAGAAGTTATCTCAAAAATCATGATTTGTCTGTTGATGTCTTACATAATTGTGTTCAGCAATTGAGTTCTTTTTGTATTTCACCACAGTGGCAGTATTTCTGTAGTTCATATGCAAAACACACATATAAATTTATGGCTGAAATCTTTTTATGTATGTTACAGAGGTACAAGGGAAGTATAATCACTCATAGTGCCAAATTGCTGTTAATTAAAGAATCCATGCTTCATTTCATCATTGCATAAACAAATTCTCATTGCATGCTTCACATATGACCCAAAATCAAAGTGGAGACTCTTTAGCAGCAATTAATTCATGCAGTAATCCAAAAGACAGCACCTGTTTTGGGTTCTTGCATGAATTAGACTAAATTTTAAAAGATAATGAATTAAAAGAGTCCTCACTTTGATTTCAGGTTGTGCATGAAGCCATCTGACTCATGAAGAATAACATGTTTAAGCAATGAGAAATCAAAATGGGGATCCTTTAATTAAGAGCAGTCTGTCACTACGAGTGATATATTTTCATTTATACTGGTGTAATACATGCAAAATAAGTTTAGTCTCTATTATTAAATGTTTTAGTTGTTTAAAAATATACATTGTTCAAAAACTTAAGGATGAACATCCTGGACTGTATTTAGTCATAATTAACTATGTTGTACTGTGACAGGACTGAACCCAACCTCCCTCTGAACTTGCACACAGTACCCTTTCCTCTTCTATTTTGTGTAGGGGGTCACGTTGGTGGTTTTTTTTTTTTTAAATCTTGTGACCAGTTTTCTCTTCTACTGACAGATCATTGATTTAGTGAATTTTCTGGCAATCTTTCAGTGGCATATTTGGCAAGCATAAATGAAACGTGGTTAAGAAAATATCATTGGGCAAATGAAATTGTGAAAGGGTTGATGAATAAAATAACCCAGGTAACCCTGCTTTGTGTTAGCTACAAATGGAGTTTGGAAGTATTTTCTTCCGTATTTAATAAACTATGGGTACAACAAATCACAGATAAATTTCACAAGTTTAATATAGCCTTGCAGTATAATCCAATTTTCTAACTCCACAGGTTTCATCCATACATTTCATTCTGTAAATAATTTGAATAGTCTTTGTGGTTTTGATCTTCTATAATATTTCTGTTTCTTCAGGGGACAGCACTTCCGTTTTTTTTTTAATGGCAGAATGAACAGTTTCCATAGATATAAAAGTTACAGTTTTTGTTGATTCTGATTAGTTGATAAATAATAGTAAATTAGTGGCATCTGTTCTGTTTTTCCAGGTAAATGTCACCTACTTTGATGGATTCCGAGCCACAGGTTGCTGCCCAGTGGGAGGACCAAAAGCAATAGAAAAGGGGAGAAGAGCTGCTGAAAGCATTTTGAAAAGGTTGTCATCTAATGCATTCCAACTCTCTTAATTCTAAAATCAACTTGCATCCTTAATTTATTCATACATTAGTAGCTATATTGTTTGGTTAGCATCCAAAAGTTTCAGTGTCTTAAATGAAGGACAATACACTCACTGTTTCTAACAGCGTATTGCCATTATATTTCCAAATAATGGGCAAAATAACCCATCACAATATTATGAATAGGAGTAATAAAACATTCAGAGATTATATACTATCCAAAATTTAAGCTTACAAACCTTGGATAACAATAGAAGATCACAATAAATGCAGATATGTATTTAGTGATTTGGAGATACCTGACTGGGAGGAAATTGGAGAGCATTCCAGAGGGTAGGTACTACCGTGAGAATGCTTGTTTCCCTGCTGCCACTTGTCAACTGTCTGCAGAACATAGCATGGCCAACAGCCCTCCTTTGAAGATCTCAGCCGTATAGCATGTGTATACAAGGAAAGTGGTATTTGAAGTAACCCAGTCCGGAACTTTTCAGGACTTAAAAAATCAGTGTCAAAAAGAGAAACAAGTAATTATATTTTATTCCTGGTTAAATGGGAACCCACATTGCTTTATATGAAGTTCAGACTTAATTCTTCACCTCTATTAAGGCAGGTAGGTAGAAGTTTGGTCTTCAGAATGGTTAAGCAGAGGAATTTTAATATGATCCAACACATGCATTTTGTTTACTGATAGGGATATATTTGTACCAGTAATGAATGGAATAGGATGGGATAGAAATAAACACATACTTTGGGGAAAAATAAATGTTTTGTTACTCCTTCACTTAGAAGTTAACAGTTTTTAATTTCTGTTTTCTTAATTTCTGTTTTCTTACAATGAATCAATAGTAATTAGAATGAAAGTTTTGTATAATTAGGCTCTTATCTGTACCTGTTTTCGACACTAAATACATGTTTTTCTTGTACTAAAGATATGTTAATGCTTGCACAGTGGGAAACATAACTCTGCCTTAAACTGCACGTAGTTATTACAGACTTGCATCTTTGAATACTCTTTGCCTCAGCAAGTTTAGAACAGGGAGAAGGTCAAAGGAGCACATGAATATAGGCTTCTAAACATTCCCAGGCACTTTCCCCCCAGCTGGGTACATTTCTGATATTAGAGCACAATTCAGAATAAAATACCTGGGTGGTGCTACTTGTATATGCCCATTAAATTTCACTGTCATGAATACCTCAACAGCAAATCTGCCAGTTCCAGTTATTGCACATTTCCTTAGAAATTGTGTACTTTCTACATTTTACTTGTTTCAGAACTCGTGTTATGTTTGATCAGCTGGGATATGAAGATTACAGTGCAATTAACCTACAGATGTTAGGTTCTGAGGAAACCTATGGACCACATGCAAAACAGAATATAGATGGAGTAAGTGTGAAATTGTCTCACAACTGTATTGGTAAGAACATGGCAGCAAGAGTAATATTTATGTTGTGTTTGCCTTTATTCTATTTCCATTATTTTTAAAATCTTTTTACTTAGCAGAACAAGTTGCACTACAGCAGGGTTGCACTACAGCAGCACTAATTTTGTAAGGATTTGGAGAGTCAACTCCTTTATAAGTTCTATTGATTCAAATGGGCTTTTTCTAGTGGTAACTTGCTTTAGCATAGTAGGCTCGTATGAATCAAATCACCAAATCCCTGCTGATTCAATGGTCCTGCTCTAACTGCAACAAACTACATTAAACAACAGGATTTCAACCACTGTGAAGGTTCAGATGTATTTAAATAGTCTGGACCATAGCAGATGAGATTCCCAACCCAAAAGAGTGGTCTTGCATTTAGGTTCAAAAATCCAAGAGATCCAAGTAGAGGATGGAAGAGACCAACCTTAGTAACAGTAGATGTGAAAAGGACCTATGCATCGTAGTAAATCACAAGCCAGTAGTCCAGTGTGGCTTAAAAATCTAGTGTGGATTAATCCGGTGCGGATTTTAAATAGCCAATGAAATCTTGGGTCGTGTTAATAGAAGTATAGTGTCCCAACCATTGGAGATAATAGTCCTAGTCTGTGCAAGTCATGTCACATATGGCATATTTTTTCCAGTTCTGGTGCCACAATTTAAGAAGGACATTGAAAAATTAGAGGGCATCCAGAATTATGAGGGTGCTGGGAAGTAAGTTGCATGAGAAATTGTTGAAAGACATGGGGATGTTTAGCTTGGAGAAGAGCAAGAGAGACATAGTGGCAATCTTCAGAGATTGGAAAGGCAGATTTGTTTTCTGCTGTTTCAGCAAGCAGTTGGTGGAAATCGCAGGGAGGCATATTTAAGCTCACATAGTAATTGTGAGAACTGCTTGCTGATGCAACAGACTATCTTGCTTGTTGAGGGTTTCTTTTATGGTAGACATGCTTAAGCAGATGGACACTCATCTGTTGAGATGCTATAGCTACGTAATGTGTTACAAAAGCCTATATTGGATAGAGAATTAGATGGTCTCCAAAGTCCTGTCAAGGTCTTTGATTTTCTAAAATATTTGGGCGAACTAATTGATGGCTTCCACACCAAAGGCGAAAGAGTATTTTACTTTTTTGATATGTGTTTTTTTCTAAAAGATAGTATTCACGTAGTCAGAATTAGTTTTGTAAAGCTTTAGCATACCAGACAGTAAAGCTCGATAATTTACATGGTGACCCCTGTTATTGATAAAAGCCAGGCATTAAAAACTTTACACTGGGGAACACTAGAGAACATTAGACTATATTTAGAAGGCAGATCTTAGAATTTAAAATGTAAATCTTAGTAGTAGTTTTTTTTAATGCTGAGCATTCTAAAAATTTGTTGCTGTATATGACATCTGTTTTATCCACCAAAAATTAATGCTAAAATTTTAATATCGATTGACCACATGCACAAGCATTTCATTGTTTAATATGGGACAATCTCTGACAGGAGTTGTTGTACCCTGTGATTTCTGATTTACATTTTAAATTCCAGTTGTTGTGTTTTTACCATAGAAGAGTCTATTTTACAATTTGTTAGAAGAACTGGATATTCAACAAATTTATTGTTTGCATACTTTTGCTTTGTTTATTTGCACACACACACATCTTCCAATAACCTGAAAACAGGGTCCTCGGGAAGCTGTTATTTGGCTTGCTGTACTTCATAAGCGGAAAGAGGCTGTGGAAATCTTTTCCAGAGAAATTGCTCCAGCTGGAACTGGAATGGGTAAATTTTGAAACTTTTCCCACTGAATCTGTTAATATTGCTTTTCTGTAGATGTGCTTAATAAATTAAATCTGTAATTAAACTTTAAATATGAGGGATACTTGATAAAAATTGAGCAGCTGATATTTTTAGTTACTCAAAGCACAGAATCATAGAAAAGTGAAGTTGGAAGGGCCTAGAAGGGCATCAGGTCCAACCCCCTGCTCATTTCAGGAATATAATAAAAACATATCAACCAACATGAATTTTGACCCAACTCCGGGAGGCAGTGGAAGACAGGAGGGCCTGGTGTGCTCTGGTCCATGGGGTCACGAAGAGTCAGACACGACTAAACAACAACCACCAGCATTTTAATTAATTAATTTACAAGCAAATATGGTAGTTGAGCCTTTGTCATTTATACATCTGCGTCTAGAGAGTTCAGACTCATTGATATGCCCAAGACTGATTTCTATGCTGTCCTAAGTTTGAAACAAGACATATAAATGAAAACAAGTAAACTGAAACAAAGCTACTCTTAGGGGTATTCTTCTAATGAAGATTGTTTCACACTTGGCTTTCACGTATCCTCTGAGCATATGGATAAGGAAAAGTTACACTTTTGACTATCCATATGATCTTTCCTAATAGAAGTCCTAACTTTCACAGATCTATGTAACTCCAGTAGCAGCTCTAGGTTTGGATGGGCATTTAGTCCCTCTGTAAATGGGTTTTCCTCCATCATTTTATTGTTGCTTCTGCTCATATTCTTGTCTTCTCCTTCTGTGCCCATTTTGCCCACCAGGCCATAGGGAAAGCACAAGGTAAGTGAAGGATGTTCCTCTGTCTCTCCTAACACTTGTCATTAGTTGCGTGCTCAGTAAAGGCAGACAAATAGCCAATGAGAGAATGGAAGCAGAGGAGCGTTAGTAGGCTCACTTTAAGACAGACCTGGAAGCAGCTCTACTTTTTGGATTCAAAATATAAATGCTATATTGGTATAGGCCCAGGATGGCCCAGTAGCTGATATTTTTAGCTGAAATTGAAACAACATCTTCATGATGGAATTCATCTCTGCTGTAAATTGATGAGATGGCTCACTAGACAGGCTACTGTCTCTCAGTCCCTGCTCTGCTTTGAATTATGGGGAAAGTGGCCTTAAAACGGTTACTATAAGGACTGCTTCAAACACTCTGAACATTCCAAAGCACTGAATTATTGTTCTTATACTGCTTATGAGTAATTAAAAGGAAGAAATGGATTTCTTCTTTCTGTTTCCTAGAGAAACAGAAAAGCAGTCGAAAGGCAGATCAAGGGATGGTTGCAGCCTCTACTGGATAAGGTTACACTCCCTCTGAAACCACAGGGGGGCAGCTTGCAGGTACTTCTGGATTTGTCTCTGAGTCGTGATGTCCAGGATTTCAGCGATAGCCAGGAGTGCCTTTACACAATTAAAACCAGTGTGCCAGCTCCACCTGTTCCTGGAGAGGTCTGATCTGGCCACAGTGACACATGTTCTTAGTTACATACCAACTGTATTACTGTAATGATATTGTCTTTTAATGATTTAAACCACCTTGAGTCCTTTCTAATGAGTTAAAAATAATTTAATTTAATAAATTAAGAGTTTTTATTACAGTTAGTGTTTCTACATTTGACTATTGAATATTGGTTGAAATCCTTTTTCTTATTGTAGTAAGTCACAACTAGGCAAGATCCATTGAATCAGTGGAACTTACTGGTGGGTTTACTCACCAAATCCCCACTCATTCAATGAACCTAGACTAGTCGCAACTTGCTGTTCTAAAGCAACAGGCTTTTAGCCATTGTTACATTACAGTTTTAGTCTAGTCAAAGAGAAGTATAAGTTTGTCCCATTTCAGACATTCCATTTACCATAGCATTTCATGATTTCAGGTGTTTGTATATGTTCACTAATTTGCAGAGACAATCTTAGAAATGAATACAATTTTCTCATTGCTGAGCCTCTTTATAATAAGTCTTTTAGATCAGTCAGCATCAAATGCAAAAAATAATAGTCACTTTTTTCTAATATTTGATGTGATTCTTTATCATGCAAGATTGCAATCCCCACATGCACACAGATCTCTGTAGATTCTGCGCTGTGTTAGGTAACCATGATAATGGGGGAGCCAGTGTAGGTATGGTAGGTCATTAACCAGCTCCCATACCCTGTCATAGTATATCCTGTTGTGCATGTTACATAGTAAAAGAGGAGGAACTCAGCTGAGTCTTTTCAGGATCCCCTTGCACACTTGCATGTGATTTTTATGTTAAAAAGTTCATTGTAAAGCTTATAAAAACATCTTGTCCATATTGAACAGATTCCATCACATGGAGCAACATCACTCAGACTTGCCAATGTACATTTTCATAAATCGGATTATTGTACGTATATCCTCAGCTCCATTGCTGCCCAATTTGATCTACGCCATGTTTTAAATTGGCATTGCTGGAACAACAGTCCTAGCAATTTTTGTACAACTCTTCCCCCCCCCCACTATTTCCCTTTCAGTTTGAAATTGCTTTCTGTTCCCTTGCTGATGTCTAGTTCCCTGTTGCTATCAGAATTGCCCGTTGGGTTCATACAGCTTCCCTTCTGGGAGGTTTTTTTTTCATTTATTCAGTCAACAGATGGGTGAGGTAATAATGAAGTTTGTATGTCTCATGCTGAAAATCCATGTAGCCTTCGTACCATAGCATAGAACTCTGGTCTGAACAAAAAACACACTGCTTTATACAGCTACGTAATACCAAGCACACAAGTAACAGAAGTTGGTTAGCCTCATAGCCTTCTAGTTGTGCAGTGGAGCATGCAACCAGTTAAGCAGTCACATGACTGGTGGGCAGCAAATTGTGAAAACCATGCTGTTTTATATATGTTATTCCGCTATAGGGTTTTGGCCATTGTTCCTGTATATTTTTTTAATGTAATAAATGAAATGTTTATGGATCTTGTTGTAAGTTAAGGACAATGGAAATTTGATCAGTCCATTTTTT